ATATTTTTAGAAAATTTTCAAATTTTTAACACTTTCGATTCGTGCATGCGCGATACAACTTACTTTTTTTTTAATGGTAATACCAATATTTTTATACATATTCGGATAGAGTATTTTTTTCTGAACAATTTATGTTTAAACATTTTTTTTCTAATTATAAAATTTGCATATGAAATTTAAGGATGAACTTTAATATTTACGATTAATTTGTTTTTGACGAAATTTAAATTAAATTATTATCACTTATTACTATCCAATATTGTTAAATACCTGTTTGCACACAGATAAAATAGTAAAAATAACTTTGACAACATTTGCCAGTAATTAAGATAGTAAATCCTGTTCGTTTTACATTTATTTTATAAATAAAATGTTGATAAATTATTTTCGCTGACTAATAATAATTGTTTGAATAATTTCAAACTAATCTTGTGACAATTACTATTCATGTAACATAATATTTTAATCTGGTTAGGTATCACATATTTATCTGAAAAAATTGTTATTGCTTTAATACACTGTTTTACATAAAGTAAATTTATTAAAATGAACAGCAGTGAAAAAGTCGAACTTATTCTAATTTTTGGCGAATGTAATCATAGTTCTCAACAAGCGTTCGGGTGTACGCAGATCGGTATCCAGATTGGTTTCATCCACATCATAATTATGTCCATAGACTTTTATGCGGATTAAATGAAAACAGTCAATTTCCTAGCATAGACAACGGCAGCCTAGACCAAATAATTTTGATGAAGACACTGAATTGCAGATAATGGCCTACATACGTACTTATCCACGTTCATCAATAAAACATGTATCTCGACAAATTGGTATATCGGGTGGTGCAGTACATAAAATTTTAAAGAAAAACAAAATGCATCCGTATAAACCCGAGTTTATCCAACATTTACGAAGATTATCAACGTAGATTACAAATTTTGTCATGGTTTAGCATTAAATTCGAAATCGACAATTTATTTTATAATAGTATTTTGTGGACTGAAGAACCTAAATTCACAAACAATGGTATAATGAACAAACAAAACAATAGGTTTTGGGAGGATACAAATCCACACTAGTCCCAAGTAACTAACTTTCAGACAGTTTGGGGTATAAATGTGTGGTGTGGATTAAATGGTAGAGTACTTGTAGATCCTTATTTTTACGACGGAACACTTACAGGTAAAAGGTATCTAGATTTTCTTGTTAATCAATTACCATTACTGTTAGAAAATGTTCTATTAGCCACGCGAAAAAGTATGTATTTTCAACAAGACGGTGCACCAGTACACAACGCCATCATTGTTAAACAATATTTAAATTACATTTTTCCTAACCGATGAATTGGTACCCATGGAGTAATTCCATGGTCAGCAAGATCGCCAGATTTGACCCCACTGGATTTTTTTTTATGGGGGCATTTAAAAAATGTTGTATATGCGGACCCACCTATTAATCTCCAAGATTTAAAAAACAAAATACGACTGGCTTGTAATAATTTGAGAGAAGAACAAATAAACGCTGCTACATCAATGGTATTTATAAAACATTTGAAATTATGTTCGGAACATCAAAGTGGAAACTTCGAACAATTTATTAAATAGAACTGTAGAAATTAATTGTAAAAAAATAAATCTTGATTCCAAATTCTAAGTGTGTACAATCTTATAGTTTTCATTACCATCAATTAGGTATCTTATTTCAGAATAATGAATGAAAAAAATTGAGGGTAAATTACGAAAAAAAAAAGTGTTTACTTATATCTTATCTGTGTGCAAACAGGCATTTAACAATATTAGATAGTAATAAGTGACATAAATTGAATTTAGTTTGAATTTCGTCATAAACAAATTACTCGTAAATATTAAAGTTCATCGTTAAATTTCATATGCAAATTTTATAATTAGAAAAAAAAAATGTATACATAAATTGTTTAGAAAAAATACTCTATCTGAAAATATAAAAAAAAAATTGGTGTTTCATTTTAAAAAAAAGTAAGTTGTATCGCGCATGCGCAATTCGAAAGTGTTAAAAATTTTAAATTTATCTAAAAATGTGTATTTAAGTATTATCTATCATTCAGTGAAAACCCCATTTCAATACAAAGTCATCGAACCGAAATATTTAGTGGTACCTTTTAGCGTGAAACCTGTATAGTGATGATCGCAGTTGAATTCACATTCTAAGTTTTCATAACGACTACCTAGATACTTTTACTTTCATTTTACATAATTTTTTACATCTTTTACATAATCAATACATTTAAATGACATAAAAATATATTAGCATATTAAATTACTCTAGAAGTATTTTTATGTTACGGAATAATACAATTTTCTAACGCTACTCGACATTCGTTTAGGTAGTTAGTATTCATCATATTATACTACATAATTTAACATATAAGGCGTATGCTGTAAAGACATTGAACGGTTTGTTTAGAATGTTTAAGTGTTGTAAAACAATTGCAACAGTAACTTTAACACCACGCTGCATCCTATGTTATGGTAATAACATGCACTAAAAATCCTAGTGAAAGCGATTGCATAGCTACTAAAAGTACTAACAATAACAATAAACATAATAATATAAATAATAATTAATCGAATCGTCTGAATAGACGTATATCATAGACATATATGCAGACGTCCATTTCGTGCAGTAAAAACGTATGGTGCAAAACAAAAACTTTAAACCGAAACTACAAATCGGTGGTCCTGGCGCTCCCGAATTGTTTTTTGACTTTCATATTTTATTATAATCAATTACTATTACCATTATAAAATTTTAAATATATAAATACTCCGACGATTAGAACATAAATGAACAAAACATGTAATAATCGAATGTAACATACACGCTTTGAAGACAATTATTTTTCATCCATATTAGATGAGAGTAACTAAGAATGAAAAATGTATTATTTAAATTTTTAATCAACATTTTAGATATGTTTCAGTGCTTATACAGTTTTCTGTTTACAAACTTCTATGCAATATGTTTTTTTTTTGCTTAATATAATGGACTTATTTATCTATATTAAGCTCTTTGTGCGATGCAATACTATCAAAAATTCGTTTCGTGTACTTTTGATTAAGAATAATAATAATTAACCTATATTTTTTCACATTATTTGACCACTTTCAATTTAAAAATCATTTTCATCATATTTTAGTACACTTATGGAATGGAGGTTTTAGGAAACATTTTATTGTGAATTCTCGTCTTAAAATTTTTATAAACTAACATGTTATTCATGTAAATATAGTATAGTTTTATTTTAAAATCTCAAGCAAACTCTCGTAATTGGCAATTTCAAAATGGTTCAGAATGTACAAACAAATAAATAAATTATATAAACTTATCAAAATAATTAAAAAAATTTACAGAAATAATTTCCAATTAAAAGAAATTGTAGTTGAAATTCCAATTCCGTCTGTAACATTTCTTTCAATAATTTATTATCTTTTTTTTATTTCAATAAATCTTTTAAAATATCTATCATTTTTAAACAAAAAATATTTTATTTCATAACTTAGAACTTTTGTGGAGCAAAATTATTTTTATGGATTATATTTCAGTGTCTTATCGGACATTATATGTCTGATCATAATTAAAACACCGTGGTACTTACTGCACCGTATCACAGGTACAACATACACAATGTATTGCAAGTATACGTGTACGCCCTTTACTTAACTACCGTAAGCGTTACTCCCCTGGTATGGTGGGCTGTGCACATCTATATAGATTTCTTCGTACAATAGGCGTCCCTGAATGGATTATTATTATTATTATTATTATAACGTATTGCCCTAGAGTATGTTTATGATATGGCGTACAATTCACAACTGTCATTGTACATTATTACATCGCTAGTGCGATTTAATAACAGAATAAAGTGGTCTTTCCTCGCAATATTAATACGGACTAGTTTTCATGACGTTTTACCATCCATTTTTGTGAATCACGAATAGATATATCATATAAGAAGTAGTAATTTGATGTCAAGAACATAAGTATCTATTGCGTGATATTCATTATAAAAATTTCTACGAATTTGTTGATTTTTTTTATGCATTCGACAAAATAATACAAAAATATTATTTTAAAACCATTCAACTAATGTTATGTAAAGAAGAAAATAACTTTCAGATTTTTTAAAATTTACTTCATTTTTGATTCCTCTCCGAAAAATTTTTGAAATCTACAGTCTATGTAATGCTAACAAGGTTGTATATGTGAATAATACTCTTACAAAGGCGGCTTGATCATGATTTTCACTGAACTACCAAAAAGTTTGGAGTGGGTGTCATCTTAATAGGTGGTTCTTGGTCTTGGCAACTGGCAGCGGTAGTTAATATCAAAATAGTAATTTAATAGAAATTAAATTTTTGTACCTAATATGACTTTTTGGTAGGTGGGTGGGTGGTATTAACTATGATTGAACCACCAACTGAAAAATCTCAAAAACCGCCTATGGTGCCGCATGATCTTTAACAACTCTATTTCATACACAGTTGTAACCAACGACAACGGTTTTTCGTACCAATAACGTAACTATTATAAGGGCAAAGCGGGGCAGTGACCCGGGACCCCAGGCCACAGGGGGCACCTTGAACATTTCTGAAACTATACTTCCCTTAAATAATTAACAATGTTGCTGGTATTTAATAATAATTTTCTAAATCGTACGTGGTGGTTCCCAATAACAATCATTATTGAAGTAAAATAGTAATACACACTGTTCGAACTGGTTGTCTAAATATAATATTGTCGACCTTATCTGCGGTTTTCCCCGCGATAACCGCGACCGACAACGAGCCCCGACGTCGTCACCGTCCGTATTCTTTTACGGACCCCCGCAGTCGTCGTCGTATGTTCGCCTCCGACGCCGGCATATCGCCGATCTATCGTAACGCGTGTGCTGTTTTTACTTTATTTCGTTCACGCTGGTGCGCCTTTGTTGATTCACGCCATTTTTCTACCTTCCTCGTGATTTTGCGGTGTCATCATGTGCGTTGCCGCCGGTCGCCCGTTTCCTTTCACCGTCGTGCGTGTTTGCCGCTGGTCGGCCTATCGCCGTCGTGCGTATTTGCCGCTTGTCGGCCCTTCGCCGTTGTGCGTTGTACCGCCGGGCGTGTTTTGCACCGTCGTCACTGTGTCGCCGTTCGTACGATACATCGTTGTTCGTGGAGTGCCTGCCTGCTCTCGGCAGCAGGAATTTGGCTGCATTGTCGTCGATGGGATTGAGTACACTACTGTGGTTGGCTGTATTACATTTTATATCTATGTATTTATGTTTATATTATTATTATTATTACTATTATTATTCCGGGCGACCGATCTTATGTCCAATGTGTTGAATTATGATGAATTATTATATATTTACTTTGGATTAATAACAAACTTTGTTATAAACATTTAATAGTTTTTAAGTGTGAGGTGACCAGTCAAGTGTTCTACCCAATCGAACACACACAATATTTGTTTGTTTTTTATAACATAACCTACCTAATAAACTGAATTATTTTTCTCTGTGCATTTTTAAATTATCTGGCAATTAATTTTATTTATCATTTCGTAATAAATTAGTATTCACATTTAAAAAAAAACAAAAAATATAATAGTATACCTTGAATTTGCATGTAAAGATAATATCAGTTAGGGAGCATATTTTACATATGGCACCGGGGCCATTTTCTGTGTAGCTGCGCCACTGGTTCATACCAACAGCCTTCAAAAGTCATTAAAGTTATACCAAAACTTGAATTTTGTTTTTTTTCTTTAATCAACGACGATAATGAACAATGAAAAGTTGATCGAACCTGTTAGAATACATGAAAAAAAATTCTCGTACACAAGTATACCTACTTAACTACACAAGTTTTGTTTGTCACTGAACGAACATGAAATTCCTAATCAATCCTAGTCACACTTTAGTGCATAAAATGGAATACCGGACAACACGGACTTCTGTGAATTAGATGCCATCGGACATTACTATCACTGACCGGACGGTATGGATACGGACCGGACATATGTGAATTGACCTTAATCCAGGAAGATGGTAAACTGCGGCTAAATTAACCTTTTTCTAAAATTCGATATGTAAATTGCGGCAAAAAAAAAATTAAGATTATATTATATTAATACAATACAAATTTAAATTGGGCGTTGATATGTTTGACGTCCGTTATATGTGCGTCGAAGAGATAATACGTCGATAACATTTTGACATATGTGTTAACGTGCATTATTTAAATCGTTAATAATATAAAAATATAAAAAAAAAATATTTAAAAATTCCCCTGGGAATATGAGCCGGTCAAAAATGTTGCCCTCTCCCCTATTAAAAACTGAAATGACGCCGCTGGCATGCCATATCGAAGAACACAAAAAAATCACAACGCATTACCTTCAATGCTTACACCTGGCGAGAATGTTCTTAACTTCGTTACGCGCAAAGGTCACCGCGGCAAATGAAGTGACCCGACCCGAAAACAAATGTTTTTAATATCATGTATAATTCCTCAAGATACTGTTACCGAACTGCGGCTTTGAAAAATGATTCAACATCAATAGCGTAACCGCACACGTATGTACAGAAAAGAAATATGACGAGAGAAATCTGGCGATACCAAAATATTCTGCCAACTTCTAACGAAAACACAATCAACAGTTTAATTGAAATCATGCGAGAAGCTGAAATATATAATATGTTCCAATCTCGTCAACGACGAGCTCAGCCTATCGCTATAAACAATGAAATGTCTACAATAATTATAATATAAAATATTTTAATAATAAATTGATATTATTATATAGTTTATGTTCTTATATATTTTATACTATATATACGAGTATATATATATATATTCCTATATACGTATATCGAATAGTCATAAATACGGTGTTATCCTTTTAAAGTAATATACAGGAAATATTTAACAAATTAGGAGTATGTTTATTATTAATTGATGAACTCAATTTAATGATTGTATTCATTCTTCGTATTGTTATATGTAGATCAAAATGAGTTTAAAAATGTGTCATTACATCACTCATGCTCTTATTGAATTTGTTATACATCAATTGGATTCGTTTTGATTTAACGAAATATTTAACGGAATAGTGTCACTTTGGAAAAAGTTTGATGTTGAAATCCATTTGCACTCTAGAAAATAATTATATAATATATATATATATATATATATATATATATATAT